ACACTCACACACATACACACACACACACACACACACACACACACAAAGGCAACAGCATCACATACAGTATATCAGAGCGAGTGCTAAACCAGACAGCAGCTTTGTGCCAAAACCACTTACACCCACATTAGTAACACCATAAAAAATGCCTGCCCACACCTTCTACATCTCCCCACTACTGCACAACAGTATTTTTCATTCAAAACATTTTCTATCCTTATGCCTGAAAACTAAATGTAATTATATTTTTATGTGATTATCAATATAGTTTGCAGGGGAAGAACAGACAAAATACTCCTTTGCTAAAATCACACAAAAGTGAGTAACCTCACCAAGGTTTTTCCATTTGTGTTTCTATTCAATTCCCGCAAGAGATAAATGTATAAATGCCCTACTGACGCAAAAATATCATCTCAACATGCTTCTGCAAACAGTGTTTGTCCATCAGCATAGAACCGTAACTATAAGTGATCTGAAAGGAGGGGCGGGGCAGAGTGTGTGTGCGTGTGTGTGTGTGTGTGTGTGTGTGTGTGTGTGTGTGTGTGTGTGTGTGTGTGTGTGTGTGTGTGTGTGTGTGTGTGTGTGTGTGTGTGTGTGTGTGTGTGTGTAAGAGCAGGTTGCCTGGACAAGAGAGCGGTAAGAGACTGTTGTGGAGACGGAACCACCAACTGGGATCACACTCAGGAATTATGCACCTCACCCACATCAATTATGCACCTAAGCACTCACACTCCCTGCCTCACACTCATTCTGACTCTCTCTTCCCTACCACTCCTCAACTGTCTCTCTACCCCTCTGTATTATGTTTCATTTTAGATCAACTACTTTGAGCAATACACACAAAGATGAGCAGACTTATAGCATGAGTGTTCATTTATTGCTTGAAGCGGTTTGCTGTTTTGTTCTTAGTTATGAAAAGTGTAGCCACTTTATGAGCATATTTTTAGAATATGCACATTATTTTCTAGTCCTAATGGTTTCATTGATCGGTTCAGGGGAGTGGGCTGGCTATTGTTCTCTGGACAAAAAGAGCTCATCTTTTACAGCAGCAGCATGATGCTTGATTTCCAGCTTGAGGCTTGAATTTTATGCTTGATTTGGCATGATCATGATAAGCTCTACAAATCAGCCAGAACTGAAGGACAGGACATAATTATGTTTATATTCCACAATTAGAATCTCACCATCTAATCATGATTTTATGTGTCATTTGCTAAAGGAAGATTTATACCAGGACAGAATGCAAAATTCCCTGTACAAACAGATTTATTAATCAGACTTCACTGGCTACTGACCAAGCAGGTCCGTTTGTAATTGTAAACAAAACAAAATCTGACATTTCCATGAACAAGAAGATGAAGATTGTAGGTCAAAATTTACATAAGAGGCGTATAAAGAAAAGTGTAAATCTTGGGTGACCCTGTTAAGCTTTTCACCACACCAGTAAAACCTTTTATTGTTTATTTATTTATTTTTACTATTACTATTCACTAGTATCTGCATATTTATTATTTTAAAATATATTTAAAAATAATCATATTATTAAAAATAATAATTCATTTAAAAACATGAATTATAGTTTAAACATTTAAAAAATAAAATATTTCATGTCAACTACTCTAGATAGCTAGATAGCTAGATAGATAGATAGATAGATAGATAGAATCTTTTACATTCTGAGGACTCAAGGTAAAAATGTACAACTTAAATGAGTCTATTTTTTTAAACTAGACTAACTTTTTTGACGACTTCCCACGTTTTCGTTTAACCTTTTTTTTTTCAGCTGTGGTCCTTAATGAGAAAGTGAATAGTCACACCAAAGAAGCTCTCGAATGAAAAGGAGTTGGATACAAAAACGAAAGAAACAAACCGACGAGCCTTCAATTTGCGCATTTTCCATCTTTTTCACTGTAACAACGCTTTTCATTTTTTGGAAGACGGCTGAGGAGGACGACTATCATCCTGAATACGTGCTCGCAGCAGCGGGCTTGGTGTTGCACTGAGAGGATGAAATCCTGCCGTATCCTTCACGAGCGCATCACTTCATTCCGCATCCACACGCTACACTACACATTCAGACAGGGGGAAAACATAACACAGAAAACCAGCCTACCTGCATAACCTTTGATGTCGTGATGTTCATATATAGAAGTCCTGTGTTTTTAGAAGTATAGAGAGTGGTAACCGCATCGACACCGCATCTCGGAGACTGAGGAGAACAGAAGCCTGAAGAGCAGGACGTAGAGAACAGCAGGGGGCGCCCCACTGCAGCGCGGGGCTAAATCACCACAAACCCCACCCGAGAGAGAGAGAGATATAGAGCAATCGTAGCTTTATTATGTGGGGAATAGATCTTAAAATGATGCTATCATTTTAATTTACTTTAAATCAAGTCTTCATCAGCAAACTAGCAAAGCTTGGCATTGAACACGTGCGGATATAAGCGTTAATCTTTAGCTTTTTTGCTAATAACTGTCCTTTTTAATGTCATCAATCATTACTAACAATTAGTATCCATACAGATGTTTACAAATCCACTATCCACTACCCTTGATGACTCGTGTGATGTCATTTACACAAAGCCATTTCTTTCAGGCCTTGTTTTGAAGGATAATTTCGCCCAAATGATGCATCACTGTACGATCAGATTGTCCATATGACATTACATAAGAGAGATTTACGCTGTTTCCATGAAGCATTTAATCTGTTTTTCCTGATGCTGTTGGGTGTACATGATAGTTAATGCATGTTAGATCATACATGCAAATGTGAACAATTAGCTAATGCCTTAATGTTGTCATAAGACAATAAATAATAATATGACAATTAAATCAATACTACATTAGCTTAGAAAATATTAGATACTTAATTCCCTTCTCTTGTAGATTGAGAAAATGTATTTCTCGAGGCTAAGGCAATAAACAGCTTCCAATGCCCCAGATAAAACTGGACATGTGGTTTGAATATGTGCAATTAGGACGAGCTGCCTTTAGGATGCCGAAAACAATTACCATGCAGCTACTCTTGCCTCATGATTAATCCAGGCAGATGTTTTCACATTATGTCTACAAAAAGACAAGCAAGCTTCAACAGAATATCATTAGGAGGCGTGATAATATCCCTTGCACCGTTGAAGATATTTCCACTAAAAATTTTTTTAACTAGCTTCAGATTTCTTTGATGCTTGTTTTCTTCATGTTCGATTCAGAGCAACATGTAATATTGCTTTATTAATACGTTATTTTTCGTTATTTATGTTCGTTGATTTATTTACGTTAGACTTATGTTCCTTTGCAGACTTCCGAATGAATTGAAATGTCAAAAACAGCTTAAAACATCAGAGAAAAAAAACGTTTATTCTAATGGTGCTGAAGCTGGAAAATTCAAACAGGACCTTGGAGAAAACACAGTGAGAAAGCCCACAAACATTGGTTCCTAATTTTACTCCTCTAGTTATCTCTCTTTTTTTTTTAAAGGCAGATTTAAGGCATGAGAACAAAAACAGCTTTCTATTTGGCGGGGGGTTGACTACAGCGGAGAGATGGGTATGAGCCAACTTGTCTCCCGAATACATGGTTGTTGTCAGGCAAAAAAAGAAAGCTCCAATCTGTCTGTTCCATAGAGAGCCAGATGAGAGGCTTGCAAGGATTTCAATTCACATTCATACACATAGCAAAACGTATCTGATATTTTATTATAGCATTTAAAACATGCATTTAATTGAGCTTATTTTGGCTTCTATTGTTGTAATCATCATTAAAAAACAACAAAAACACCTAGTGTACCCCACAAACATAAATACAAAAAGAGGAAAATTTAACAAGCTTTACAATATTTGTACACATTTTGAATGTGTGAGCTTGTAAAGGGCCAAAGGATCAAACTAACTTAAATTAATAAATTTATGAAGTCACTAAAGAAAATCTTTACATCAGAAAAAAAAAAGAAAAGAAAAAAGGCAAAAGCCAAGAATATCAAGTACACCATAACAGGTTAAAAATGAAGTGGAATCGTCCAATTTTTCTTGCAATGATCACAAATGAACAGCCTAATCAAAGTGTCACTGTTTACTAGATAACAATCTCATGTGTAATAGCTAGGCTTGTTCTATCTCCACAAGAACCCCATCACAGTCTTTAGGGTGGAGGAACATCACAGGTTTGCCATGAGCTCCTATCTGTGGCTCTGGGGAGAGCAGTCTGATTTTCTTTTCCTTCAAATCAACTATTGCAGCATTGATATCATCCACCTGCAATTGAACAGGCAGCATTATGGATACTGACACTAAACTATGAAACAAGTTCAATATTTACTGTGAAGACACCTGCAATGTGATTGATTCACAAGACATTTAGTTTCTGAATGTTCATTATTTTTCTTTATTGTATTATTATTATCCCATCTAATTTTTTTTTTATAT